CCCCCACCCCCCCGACTGACTTGCTCTCTCGCGGGTTGTTTAACTCAAGCAGAGTAGTTTTTCTGAGCGTATGTTTGTGTGTTTCTGTATAAAACACAGGATCATCCCCACATGTTTGTCATGTGTGTTTCTCCAGACGGATGTTCTGAACTGCATTTCGTTCTGCACTGCATCTCGATGTTGTGTGTGAATGACAATAAACACCTCTGATTTCTGATTTTTAACACTACTTATGTTTCCCTACAAGACATCAAATTTAAAGTTGACTGAACCATCATATAAACATTAACGTCCGCCTGTGTTTACCCACCGTTTGGACCAGCGGTAGAATATCTTGCTGTGACCGAAGCAGTTTATCCCAGGGATCCGGTGTCCACCTGATCTCTTCAGCACCCATCCTTCTCTGAAACACAGAGAAACAATCAGTAACTCAACAAATGAGCTGGATTCACTTTCAGATTTACTCTTTTTCTCTAAAATAAAGTGAGGATTTCTGCTTTAACTGAGTCTTTACCTTCATCCTGAGTAATTTACAGATCACAAACCAAAGAAGCCACAGGTGTTTTAATATAATAAATGATAAAATAACAGCGGGGAAAAAAATCACAGAGACTCCATTCCACTTTTGAATTAAAGCTGAGATCCAGACCTTTGCAAYGRTGTGTGCCATGCCGGGATTGGGCACTGCCAGGCCCGGCTAGGCTGCTAAYAAACCCGGTCTCGGGCCTGGATCAACGGTTTTTGCCCCGCTGTTCGCTCCTTTCTCCGCGGGGAAAAACAGACTTTTAATTCTTATTAAAGGCTTTGTGTCTGAGAAACTGGATTTCTTACAAGCCTTTTGGTCCCAGGTCGTGGATAAAGGACAGTTGGCTGACTTCAATGAACTCCATCTGATAAAAACAAAAAAAGGATTATTACTTTTATTTAAGGTCAGATTGTGTAAAAGGCTATTTTTCACAGCAGTTTAGGAAATTAGGGAAAGTTTCTGAGAAAATGGGGGAAATTTTTTACCAAAAGAAAATTCATGTTATTAACAAAAAATAATTGTTTTTACATCACATCATTTTTTATGTCAGACACTAATTWCAGAAAAATGTGTTTAAAAACATCAAAATGAGTGTCTCAATCAGCTCATCACAGCTTTACATTYTCTCATCCAAACAGGTTTTTTATTTTGTCATATTTACTTCACAAAACATTGCAGTGAYATAAAAATGGACATTTGTGACCATCAGAATCTTCTGTGGCTCACAGGCAGGGGCGGAGCCAGAGGGGTGGCTGAGGAGCCAATGACACCCCTGGAACCGGATTGGCCACCCCCAGGTACCACACCCACATAATTGAAAGTGGGCGGGATCTTGATTTTTGTATTTTATATTTTGTTAAATTGTTCTCTGATACTGTGTTAATATTTTTTCCACTGTGAATGTTTAAAAATGACTGAATTATAGCTCTTTGTAAAACTAGCTTCAGGATTATTGGTTAGCTTAATTTGGGATTCTCACTGGCAAACRATTCTTAGYTACTCTACAACAAATTAAATCAWAAAATGGCTGAATTGTAGCTTTTTTAAGTTAGCTGTGGTGGCCATTTTGAATTTTCAGATCCAGAGTGTTTTTCTTTATTTTGATGCGGTCACTCCGTATAAAAAAAAGTCCTAGCTCCGCCCCTGCTCACAGGAGAGGATGTTTCCAGGATTTCCAGGACCTTTCTGGCCCAGTTCCGAGAAGATCTTACCGTGGCGTAGTGGTTCCTGTACATCTGCATCTTCAGCAGCTTGTTYAGGTAATCCTCCAGTTGTTTCTGCAACAGAAAACACAAAAAGAACAAATTCATGTCCACAACCATCAAATCCAAACGTTTCCAAACAYGGAGGAGACGAACCCTGCGGCTGGAAACCCGCTCCTCTCGGCCCAGCTCCTCTCCTCCTCCTCGAGGGAGAACGGGCATGGCCTCKGTCCTCATCATCGTCCTCCTCCTCCTCACCGTGTGACTGCAGGGAGACGATGGGTGAGAAGRTTCTTCATCCCAGCTCCAAACACAAATATAAAAACAGGTTTTACCTGCGTGAGGGCAGCGGCAGCCTCATGAGGGTCCTATAGGTCCTCATCTCTCTGTGGAGCTCCATGAAGTGTTTCTCCTTCTTCTTCACGGTCCAGGTGAACTCCCCGTGCTTCAGCTCGATCTTGTAGAGAGCCGGCATGGACTGCAGGCAGCAGAACCTTCGGTTAGTGAACTCGTCTCTTGTTAGGGCTCAGAAGCCTCGGCCCGGTCCACGCACCTTGTTCATGCTCCTCTGGGTGCTGACGCTGAAGCGGTCCTGAGCCACCGTGTAGCGCTCCACATCCAAAATCTTAGCCGTGATGGGAGAGGACAGGAAGACCTGGGCCTCGACCTCCCTGAAGCCCACCGTGTGGTAAACATTCGCAAAGGGCAGCCGGTCTCCTGCAGAGGAAAGACAAACCTTTAYAACACACAGCTAAAATGAAGCTGATGTCTCGCTGCTCTTCATAACGTCAGCGAGGGTTTGTTAGAGGCTCACAGAAACCTGAGTCCATCCAGTTTCTGAACTGTAGACCGTCAGATCTGGATCTAGATTTAGACCAGAAAACATCCAGATCCAAAAACCACAGCCAAAATATCAACAAGTCACATTTTCTGCTAACATACAGCTGAATGCTACACGCTAAAATCTGTGACAAATAAAAATCAAAATGGACAAGTTGTATCTTCTGCAAACATACAGCTAAATGCTACGCGCTAAAAGCTAAAATTTAGGACAAATAAAAATCAAAAGGGACAAGTCATACCTTTGGCTAACATACAGCTAAATGCTACATGCTAAAAGCTTAAATTAATGACAAAAATATTTCAATTGTTCAATTTAAAACAAGCAGAAAAAGATAAAATCGGCCAAACAGTAGCTAAAGGCTGAATTTGGCCAAACTATACCCAAAAGCTAAAGTTAGCAAAATGACAAAAACCTAAAATTAGCAAAGCAGTAGCTAAAAGCTAATATTAKCAAAAATGTAGCAAATACCTAATGTAGAAAAACAGTAACCAAATACTGTAAATTAGCTATGTAAAAGCTGGAGGCTAAAATCAGCAAAACAAGAGCTAAGGGTTAAATTTTGATTTAAAAAATGCAAAAATGAAGCCAAAAAATAAGTAGGAAAACAGGAGTCAAAACCTAAAATAGCTAAAAGAAATTGGAAGCTAAAATCAGCAAAACAGTAGCYAAAGGATGAATTTTGCMAAACTATAACCAAAAGTGAGAGGGCGATAAAGTCTAAAATTATCAAAAACTTAAACGAATAGTAAAGCTATCGAACATGCAGCCAACACCCAAAGTAGGAAATCAGTACTCAAAACSTAAAAGWRGCAAAACRRTAGCTAAAGGTAAAGCTAGCAGAGAAGCTAAAGCAGTTAGCGGTGACGTCAGGTACCCGCCGTGCTGCTGTTGCTCGTGTCGTAGTCGTCTCCGCCCAGGTCCAGCTCTCTGGTGTCCAGCTTCTCCATGATCCCCGTCATGTCGGTGGCCACCAGCTGTAAGGTGCTGGAGGTCGCGTCGGTCGGCTGCAGCATGGTTAGCACTCGGCTYGGAGCCCAGGGCTCACCTGGAGAGACAGGTAGAGAGGGTGGTGTGAAGTTAGAAGCTGAAACACGTTTTATGTTTATTAAAGTACAAAAAATATACAAATATAGATGAGATGCTATTAATAATCATAACAAAAAAGCTTTTAAATAAAAAAATATTTTTCATGGATTTAAAGATGCTCTGCTTCATTTATTGCACCCTGACTATCAMTSCAGACTAAACTCAAATGCTCCTTCRTGTGATTTTTATTGATGTGGAGGAAACGTGGCTGTAATTGCTCATTTCTAGTTTTAATCTCAGTTCACATGTCGCCCAGTCAGAGGCGTTTACTTTAATTCATGCTGTTGTTTTCAACTCATTCTGGGTCAGATTCTGTGGAAATCCCTGAAGTTAATCCTCTTTGTTCAAGAGTGACCTGTTTTCCTTACACTTTCTCAGCCACGTGCATGTTTGTAACMAGGAAATGGTTGAAAACGAATCCCTGCTAATCCATGTCATGTGGATTAGTGTCAAAACGGATGTGATCTGAGGTGGGTCAAAGGTGGCAGTGAGTCCACAGAAACCAGACAAAATATGGAAAATGTCCAAGAAAGAGTAGAGTCGATGGTTAAACTGAAAATTAAGTGAAAGCTAAACGAAGCAAAAGTCTTATGGGCTCTCCTACAGGTGGTTGGCCCACAGGAAGCACATATCTCATTCAGCTGAGCACAAACAAGCCCCTCCCCCAGGTCTGGCTCCACCCACTTCCAYGTGAAGAACATCAAGCTCCTCAAAAGAATCTGAACCTCAGAAATATTAAATACAACAAAAAATGGTGTTAATTTCTAATAATGTAACATGTTTTATATCTGAAACAAAGTACTGAACAAAATACAGAAATAATTTCTGTGGAAAGTTTATGAAGCTGTTGTTAACTGTTGCGCTAACAGCTAGCATGTGTGCGGGGCTAGCATCAATTTTCAAAAGTTTCATCTTGTTTCACACAACCGTTTAATAAACTTTTACATCATCAATTTCATGCTAGTTACTACAGCAGGAAAATTATTATCCAACAGGAAGTGCTACAGGCTAACTGCTACTGTTTACGAATAATCACATAACTTTATACAACTAACCGTGACATGAGGCAGATGTTCATGTTAAGGTTTATTAAAGTCCTGTTTGCATGAACTGCACTGAAACATTTCAGTTTAGAGCTTATTTTACACAACATTAAACCACTTTGACTTGCTCAAGCTAGCTGTTAGCTAGTAGCTTGGGCTGTTAGCCTGTTAGCTTGTTAGCTATACATGAGCTAGCCTGAGTCTGACCAGAACCAAAGAGGCTCACTGTCATCTTAAGCTGTTGAAGCAAAGATTATTTTTTTAAATCTTTACATCATTGTCAGTTATTGCAGGTATTCTGGCCAAAATATTCCTACAGGAAGTGAAGTAGGCTGCACAGGAAGTGMCACGCCTAGTTGATGCCTCCACTATTTAATTACGTGAAAATTCAAAGTTTTACATAAACCATGCAGTGCATTGTGGGTAGTAGAGCAATGGTTGGTAAAACATAATTCGGATGAATCAAAGCATATATTATATTATATTAAAGTATATTATAGTATATTAAAATATTTTATTTGGAGGACTAAAATTGTTTGAAGACAACAGCTCAATGCTTCAGGGGCTACTTAGAATAGGTGATAAGTTATCTGTTATAAAGTCACCTGAGTGTGAATACAGGCATTCATTTGTTGTTTTATTATTAATACCACAACAACAAGTCATCAGCACACAGTGAAACCTCTGTGCAGAAACATCAGCACGTGTCGACAGTTTCAGCTGCTGCCAGGYCAGTTTGGATAAATTTATCTGAATAAATCCAGGATTGGATCCATCAGTCAGTCTTAGTTTGGTTCAACAGTTTAGCTCATGAATATTTCATGGCAGCAGAAAACAAAGCTGGCGGCTCTCACGGCTTCAGATTGACCTGATTTTTATGTATGAGCTAACGATACGTAGCAAAGCTGCAGCCAGTGAGAGGCGCTTTGTTTGGGTGTGCTGTGGAAAGTGAAATTGTGGTTTTTCTGCGGTCTGTCTGCTTTCACTTCCTCCTCCAGACACAACTATSATCAAACCACAGAAAATACGAGCTTCAGAACCACAGTGGTGTCAGAGCTGTTAGACTGCAGAAACACAAGCTGCAAAACATCAATTCAGGCTGAAAATACAGCTAATTATATTCTGTAAACTGAAACACTAAACCTTTAACACTGAAACACTAAACCTGTTTTTAAGAAGAGGCAGATATGTTCTTTCTGCACCCTTTTCATTTAATAACGGGTTTACTTTGTTTTATTTTATTTCTTTGTTTTGTTTTAATATTTCTTTGATTTTAAAAATGAAATAAATACAAAAAACATCTTCAATCTATCAGTGAAAGCTGAATAAATTAAGACTTTTAGTTTTGCTCAAACAAACTCGAACAGAATCAGCAGTTCAACCTAAAGAGACTAAAAACCATCAGGTTCTTCCAAACCTGGACCAGGTCTAATGGAACCCTCAACCACTCGTCGTCCTGGACCGAATGGGTCTCATTATATTAATTATTCATAACTGATTTAAAAAACATAACCAATGTGAGTGCTGGTGCTGCTGGTTCCACACAACAAACCTAAAAAAGGACTATTTTATTTGTGCGTATGTAATATGTAAATAATTTGTGTGTTTGTGTAATATCTGTCAACATCGGTTATAGGCCACAACACCAAAAATAATATCCGATATCATCTGAAATTTTCTTATCGGTGCATCCCCAGTCCAGAGGATCACCTTTGGATCAGTCAGTTTTAATAACTGCAGGTTTTCAGTAAAAACTCTGGACCAGATGTTCAGTCTTGAGTTTGTGTCACAGAAAATGTGGTCCAACCTGAAAGCGGCTCACGTCACAGGTGGTTCCTCTTGTCCTGCTCTAAAAGAAAAATCCCCATCCTGCAGCGTTTGAATGTCAACAGCCTCTATGCAAATGTGGTCATTATATTCCTGAGAACAGGAGGCCGTAAACACGGTTTGTTTCAGCCTAAACAAAGCTCGGTGTCTCGTATGAAAATCATCCAGCTCTGAGCTGGGCTTGCATGAAAAGGCGTGTCGAAGGCGTGTCGGCTAACAGAGCTCAGGTGAACCGCTCGTTCAGAGAATAAAACAGAAAAAGTCAAAGAAAACGTAAAAACACAGCTGCAGTTAMAAGAACCTTTCTTTTTTACCAGTGTGGATAGTTTATATTCAAACAGCTTCAGTGGGTTTTAAAACACGTCTGAAGACCTCAGGGTTTTTGTGGTCCTTGTTCTGGACCAAGCTGACAAAATTTAATTAAACTCTGTGGTTTTTAGGAAATTAATCATGTTTTATTCTGAGTCCACAGAGTTCTGATCATTAGGTTGTGGTTTTAGGAAAGCGTAATGTTTAAAGCGTTRATGTCTGATTTMTCCAATCAGAAACCAGCTGTGACCACAGCATGACGCTCCCACCTCCGTGCCTGACAGCTGGTTCAGTGTTCTGAGGTCTGAATCCATAGTCTCGTCCTTCACGCTCCTGTTTCCTGTCAGAAGCTTTAATGAAACGTGACCTGGGGTTAGGTTGAGTTACGTTAACGTTGTTTTTTYAACCAAAGGTCCTGAGAAATAGAAACTGGACGCTGCAGCGCCACATCTGAAGGAAAYCAAAGTGTTGAAAGAGGAAGTAAAACCTCAGAGTTGTTCACTGCGCGGGGAAGGAACTTGAGAAATATTTAAGAAGAAATTCAAAGTTAGGAAATGTCTCCCTGCACTGAATTCATCACGTCTTTATAAACTTTTTATTAAYATCTGAAAGCAGCATTTACTACGTTTAATCTGGTGTCCACATCCAGCTGTCTCTGTGTGAGGGGCGGGGTCAACTGTCCATCACTGAGACACCTGGACATGTCTCCAGTCCATCACTGAGACACCTGGACATGTCTCCAGTCCATCAGAAACACCTGGACATGTCTCCAGTCCATCACTGAGACACCTGGACATGTCTCCAGTCCATCAGAAACACCTGGACATGTCTCCAGTCCATCACTGAGAC